AATTCTTCTTTAAAGTGAAGACCATGCAGACAATAGGGATGTCATATGTAGGAGAGGAGTAAGTAACATGTTCACCCATACCCCATAACTCATTGAGTATTTTATTTCACTTCCAGGGCTGATTATTGGAAATGAATTGTAATTTTGCCTTGCAGTAGTTAAAGGAAAGGTTCTCTTTAAGGCCTCTTGCACACAGATGGTGAGAAGAAGAAAATATGCCTAGCGTACAATTCTGGTGCGCAGGGAGCTGCAGGTGCCACATACAGACACCAAGTTAATGGCTGCATGGTGTTGTATTCATGTAAAGCTGATACGTCTGTGCACCGCCATTTACCCGCATGTGCCTGTATGAGCACAGAAGCATCAGTGTCTACATGAATATGGGTACAGCCTTTCACTTCTATGGCCAGCTGTACCCGACATCTGCGGCTCCCTGAAAATCTGGAAAACGACTGGAATTTTAAATTAGACATATTTTCAGGCTCAGGCTGTCCTCGTGCCTACTGAAGCCTACTTTCAATGAACTAAGGATTCTGTACAGAACAGCTTTGTGAGAGTATACACTCACTCTACTATTGGATGTCATAGAGGAAGCTTGCTTTTGTCAGCAGATTGTATGATTGTACACCAATCTTAATAGGAGTGATGACTGTCATTTTAAACAAGCTGATTTCACTACGCTTTGGCAACTTGGCAACCTGTATAAAGTGAATGTCATCTGTCCCATAAAGATTGATCTTTAACATTCCCATTCCCAAAATGGAACTGAAGAGTTTTTAAAGGCTTCAACATTCCAACAACTTTCCAATGGGGCACAAATGAAAAATTATACAGTTAAACATCAACATTACATCCCCAATGTGCTTATATATATATATATATATATATATATATATAGAAAGCCCAAATTGCACAGTCCATCATATATGTAGACTTTTAGCTTTTTCTGATATACTATTGTGGTGTCTCCATTCAGTGCTCATAACTGTCTTAGCAATCTGATCACCCTCCACCAGATGTAGTACAATCAAGTATGGTCAATAAACGCCTGTGTCCCTCAGGAACAAGGCACTTTATTATCATCTATTGGCTTCAACATTCTTGAAACTTGCTGAATGCATGGTAAAAGCTTGCCGTACACACTGGTCATACAAGCTGAAGCCCATGAAAGCGAAGCCTTAATGGTGGCAATGCTGCCACTTTATATATTGGCCTCTTAGACTTTTTTATTGTAATTTTACATTAACTACAAAACAAAAGATTAAATATTACACAAGCTCAAACAACATCTCGTACTAAAAAATGAAATGTTGTGCAAGTAATGCAAATCACAATGCTGCCACTTGCAACGGTGCTTAGCATTTGCTAGTTTCAGGACTCCAAAGCAAGTGTAGCTAAGTACCATTGTAAAGCAAAGCACCGTGTGCTATAAATTTGCCTGTTCTTTAACAGCAGAGCTATGATCATAGGTAAGCTGTGCTTTGTTGTGCTTTATACTTAGCCTCTTAGGCAGGCAATACTTTAACCAATTTTTTTTTCCTTCAATCATGGGTTGAAGAGAAAAAAAAATTGCTCAATTCCCTCCCGGTGCACTATTGTATTCTGACAGCGTGAGGTTTCCCAGCCGTCAAAATACAATGATCACTGCTTGTGGCCATAGCCGCTGGCAGTAATCAAATTAAAAAACCCAACATGCTGGCTGTACTGAAGTTGATCAATAGATTGACTTCAGTACAACCAACCTGCCCATACATGGATCACAATTCGGACAGTTCCTGTCAAACCAGATGAATTTCGAACTGTCTATGGCCAGCTTTAGTCTTTTTTAGTAATGCTTTACAGTTACTTTGAATAGTGTGACTATATATATATGTGTGTGTTTTTAAATAAATAAATAAATATATATATATATATATATATATATATATATATATATATATATATATATATATGATTCGTCATGTCAGGTTTTCCTGAAATCGATGTGATATTACCGTGCAAATTATAATTCATAATTACATCAAAGCATGTTCCCTTAGTCAGATACATGCTTAGCAGCGGAATGCACCGCTCTGCAATCAGCAGGCCAAGAAGAAAGCCAGCAATCCAAAATTATTACATTAACCTGTTTTCTTCATAGCAGTGGAATAATAATTATCTTTCTGCTTGGCTTCATTTGTAATAGTGTTACAAGGCTTCTCTACACAAATTCCAGCATGATTTTAAGAGCCATCAAGTGCCTCATATAATACACAGTGTCAGAATTTGGCTGTCAATATTTATATAAGTAGGTCACCCAGGGTAAGTGAGGATGAATTTGCTGATACTGTTAACAATGTGCAGCCAACAGCTGAAACATTAAAGGTGTCAGGCTTTCAGTTCACAAAATATACTTTTATTCTCGTCCCAGGATGTTGTTAAAGCACACACTAAATGCCAGGTTCAGCAAAAAGGGCATTGGAGTCTATAATAATAACAATAAGCAAAATAGCTGCCAGCTTTTGTAAACTGTTAAACAATTTAATTCACCTAATTTTACATTCAATAACTTCGCACATAAGGGTTAAATTACTTAAAGTGCATGTATAGCCTAAACCATTTTTTAAGTTTTAGATAGAGTAGGGAAGGGTCAAAACCCCTGCCAAGTTATTTTTTTGCCATCTGTGTACCTTTGGGGAAATTTCACTTCCTGTCAAAGATACATGACAGGAAGTTAGAGGAAACCTCACAAAGTGAGGGGAATTCTCCACTTTGACAGTTTGACAGTTTCCTATTGAAAGATTTACTCTCACAACTTCCCATATGGAAGAAAATATATTTGAAATATATTTAAAAAATATTCTTCCCAAATATATTGCCATATATTTGAAATACTACAATTTTGTCCATATTTAAATATATTTCAAAATGTGTATATATATATATATATATATATATATATATATACTGCATGTTGAAATGTGTTTTTATTACAAAATATATGAAAAATATTTTTTTAAATTCATTTCAAATATGTTAAAATGACTTTTTTATATGTTTAAAAAAAAAAATCTGAAGAATATATTTTTAAAAATATATTTTCAAATATATATATTTTTTTAAATATATTCTTGGGATTTTTTTTTTAACATATAAAAAAGTCATTTTAACATATATTTTTTACATATATTTGTAAATGCATTCCAAAAATGTAGATTTGTATTTTTAAAGACATACATTATATTTGAAATTTATTTTAAAAATATTTTTCAAATATTTTGTAATAAAAGTGCATTTTAACATGCAATATATATTTTTATATATATATATATATATATATATATATATATAATATGGTAAAAATTGTAGTATTTCAAATATATGGCAATATATTTAGGAAGAATATTTTTAAAATATATTTCAAATATACTTTTCTTCCATGTGGGTTGTTCTCGAGTCAACCCATGATTTCCCCATGTTTTCTTTCTCAGTGACATTGATCACCAGTACAAATAAAGTGTGTCTTTCCAATGGGGACACAGACAGCAAGACAAACTTAACAGAGGGACCAACCCTCCCCCACTCTATATGAAACAAAAAAATGGTCTTGCCATGAAGATACACTCTAAACAGTCTATTTAGCAAAGTAAAAGTTCATTGTGCAAAATAAATATGTCAATAAGGTAAAGTGGTGTACCCAATCATATGCTAGTAAAATAACTTTTTGGAAATTGGCCTCACACGATTGGATATTCAAAGTGAACACAGGTTAATTTTTTTTTCTAACATTGGCTATGAAAAAAGAACATTCACTTTGTGAACTGAACAGCCATTAATTGTTTAGAAAATTGTTTAGAAAATTATCTCTATGTGCTCACTTGATACTTCTGAATTTTACAATGCTTTGCGTTTTTAAAAATACTATTATAAATACAATACTAAAAGTGCAGAGGTAAAGTTTCGAAGTTACAGAGACCTTATTTACAGAGTTCTATAAATGGAGGCAATTTAATGCTGTAACAAAAAATAAGCAAAATACCACTTTGCAGAATTCCCATTAACAAATAGCATTGGCTTGGTGTCAGGCTATAAGAGTCTTTGGGGTTGATTTATTAAAGGCCAATAGACTGCACATGCTCCAGAGCTTAGTAAATGAGCAGAAGCTCTATTGACTTCCACCATCTAATCACGTACAAGCAAAAATGCGGTTTTTTTTTTTTCATTTTCCTTGCACATGATTGGGTACTCATTACAAAATAAAGCTTTACCTCATTTACTAAGCTCTGGAGCAACAGCACTAGCAGAGTGCAACTGCACTTTGCAAAGTGCGCAGTCTATTTGCCTTTAGTAAATCAATTCCTTTATGTTTGTTGCAGGACTATGCGGACCCAGTCCTGATAATTCGCCTCTACATTGATATGGCAAGTCCACCATTTGGGAGGTAGGGGTTGGATAATGCCCATCTACTGCGTTGACGTGGACCAACACAGACAAATTAAGACCAGAATATCTTGTGATTGCCAATTTACATGAGTAAAAGGAGCATTTAGGTAGATGGTATTGGTGATTGATGGTTATAAGATATTTTTAATGGCATCAATAACTTAAAGCAGGACGTGTGGAAAGGGTGGGAGCCCAGAAAGTCCCTTTAATCGCCTCTCGCCCGCCATATAAGGAAATGACAGACGGGGGTGGTTCTCTCATTCTGGGAGGACGTCATATGACGTTCTCCCCACTCTAACTGCATGTGCGCACCCCCGGGGGTCTGCAGTAATTGGTGGTGTGCTGTGTCCCTGGGACACAGTGGATCACCAATCAGCAGAAAAAGCCGATAACTTTGGCTCTGTCATGTGATCATCTATGTCCAATCACAGCTGATCGCATGTAAATAAGGAAATGCCAGTTATCGGCATTTTTTCTCCTCACGAGCTGTCACGCTGACAACTCGTGAGGAGAAGAGAGAATGTAATCAGCATTCCTCAGAGGGGACATCTACACTGATCATCAGTGCCCTGATGATCAGTGTAGCCCCATCAGTGCCACCTGTCAGTGTTCATCAATGTCAGCTGTCAGTGCCCATCAATGCCACCTGTCAGTGCCCATCAATGCACATCAATGCCACATATCAGTACCTACCCGTGCACATCAATGCCACATATTAGTGCCCATCTGAGCTGCCTTTCAGTGCAAACTTTCCATGCCAGTCAATGCCAGTCAGTGCTGCCTATGAGTGCTGCCAATCAGTGTTACCTATCAGTGCCAGTCAGTGCCACCTATCAGTGCCAGTCAGTGTTGCCAGTTAGTGCTGCCTATCAGTTCCCATCAGTGTCGCCTAACAGTTCCAGTCAGTGCCACCTAACAGTGCCAGTCAGTGCTGCCTATCAGTGCCAGTCAGTGCTGCCTATCAATGCCACCTATCAGTGTCATATATGAGTACTGCTTTTCAGTGCCCATCAGTAATGTCTGTCAATGCTTATGAGTGATGCCTGTCAATGCCCATCAGTGCCACCTACCAGTGCCTCCTCATCAGTGCCATCTATCAGTGCTCATCAGTGCAGCCTATCAGTACCCATAACTGCAGCCTCATTAGCGCACATCAGTGAAGGAGAAAAATTACTCATTTACAGAATGTATAACAGAAACTAAGAAACTTTTTTTTTTTTTACAAAATTTTCTGTTGTTTTTGGTTTGTTTAGCAAAAAATAAAAACCCCAGTGGTGATTAAATACTACCAAAGAAAGCTCTATCTGTCTCAAACAAATTATAAAAATGTCATATGGGTACAAATGTTGCATGACCGCGCAATTGTCATTCAAAGTGCGACAGCGCTGAAAGCTGAAAATTGTCCTGGGCAGGAAGGGGGTAAAAGTGCCCTGTAGACAGGTGGTTAAGGTTACGATTCCATTGATGGTTAAGAATATGGTTAGTAGGGGGATTATATGGAGAAGGGGATGAAGTGTTAGGGTTTGTCATTAAGGTGGAGAGGAGGTTAAATATTTTAATTAGGTTTAGTGTTAAATATTAGGGAAGGTTACAAAGTAGAGATTTATTGTAGGAGTTAGATTAAAGTGTATGCACCCCCCCAAAATTCTATCTTACATATACAGTCTGTTATGATGGGTGTTTAGGGCTAAATCCAGCCTGTTACTTTGGTATTTATTCTTATCATCATATATACCTGGTGATGCTGCACGTTGTTCTCATGGTGATCCTGCTAATTCCCCCTCTGCCTTTTTTTTATTCCGACTATGGCAAGCATGGAGGTAGATCCATGGTCAGTTTGCATCCCTCTGATTTCTTTTGGAGATCCATGCAAGCACATGCCATACCTGGATCACTACCACATCCCCTCCCCAGCCCTGCTGTTTTGATTCACAGGGCTCCCAGTAGGAGGATCACAGCAGATATTAAAACAGGAGACATACCCCTCGCCCAGCCCCACTGTATTGATTGACAGCGGTTCACAGCAAGAGCCTATATCAAAGCTGAAGTGGAGTAGGAGAGAGATGACCCCCCCACCACAACAAGTAAATACAAATTAAGGCAAATACTATTAAATGATGCATTACAATTGGCTTCAATGGTACTATTTTCATATATGCTGTACATTTTGCAGTTCTGGTGAGGTGATTAAAAAAAAATCTTGGGACTTGCTGCTGCAATAGGTGACACTAAGGGGTTGATTTACTAAAACTAGAGAGTGCAAAATCTGGATCAGTGCTGCGTGGAAACCAATCATCTTTCAGGTTTTTTGATTAAAGTTTAATTGAACAAGCTGAAGTTAGAAGCTGATTGGCTACCATGCACAGCTGCTCTAGATTTTGCACTCTCAGTTTTAGTAGATTAACCCCTAAATGTCTCCAGCAAGCAGCAAGTTCAAACTCTGTTATATTAAAGCGCTACAACCACCAACAAGGTCATCAATATTCAACACTTCTGGAAGCTTTGAAAGCCTGTGTCCCTCACTGCACTCTGTGGATCATCCCAGCTACCCCTACATCACTACAGCAGTGTTTTTCAACCTTTTTTGTGCAAAGGCACACTTTTTTCATGAAAAAAATCACGAGGCACATTACCATTAGAAAATGATAAAAAAATTTACCTCTGTGCCTATATTGACTATATATAAAGTAATTCTCTTGAATAGGAATCAAACACAAAGAAATTATTTTATAATTACTTTATTATGAAATAATAAAGTATTTTATAATTGGACCCGGGGGCCGGACCAAGAGTAGATGAATGATGTGTATGTGTCATCCATAGTAAGTATAGTAATATTCAACCATAGTAAGCATAGTAATTAATCCCCCATATAGTAATTCATCCCCCATAGTAATTCATCCCCATAGTAATTCATCCCCCATATAGTAATTCATCCCCCATAGTAATTAATCCCCCCCCATATAGTAATTCATCCCCCATAGTAATTCATCCCCCATAGTAATTCATCCCCCATATAGTAATTCATCCCCCATAGTAATTCATCCCCCATATAGTAATTCATCCCCCATAGTAATTCATCCCCCATATAGTAATTCATCCCCCATAGTAATTCATCCCCCATAGTAATTAATCCCCCATATAGTAATTCATCCCCCATAGTAATTCATCCACCATATAGTAATTTATCCCCCATAGTAATTCATCCCCCATAGTAATTATTCCCCCATATAGTAATTCATCCCCCATAGTAATTCATCCCCCATAGTAATTAATCCCCCATATAGTAATTCATCGCCCATAGTAATTAATCCCCCATATAGTAATTCATCCCCCATAGTAATTCATCCCCCATATAGTAATTCATCCCCCATAGTAATTCATCCCCCATAGTAATTCATCCCCCATATAGTAATTCATCCCCCATAGTAATTCATCCCCCATATTAATTCATCCCCCATATTAAGTCCCCAAGCCCCCCCTGTCTCAATTCACTTACCTTTGCTCCGCGCGTTCCTCTCGCCGTTCCGGTGTAGCATGAAAATCTGTCTCCTATGAGGATCTGTCCCCCTCGACGTATCTGCGCATGTGCCAGTTTCAGGCATTAGCAGCCGATCGGCGATCTCCGGCACATGCGCAGATACGTCGAGGGGGACAGATCATCCTGACAGTATCACGCTCCGCGGGCCGGATTAAAAGGTCCGCCGGGCCGTAGTTTGCCCATTGCTGTTCTAATGATTGGTCTATTTGTGAGCCGAGGCCACATGTTACGGATGAAATTGCAATTTTTCCCACGGCACACCAGACAATATCTCACGGCACACTAGTGTGCCGCGGCACAGTGGTTGAAAAACGCTGCACTACAGGATGTAGAAGTCTTCAGTAAATGGTCTCCTGTAGTGATAAGGGGGCCATTGAGAGGAACCATAGAGTGCAATGGGGGACCAGGTATCTGACACACCCATAAGTGTATTGGATACGACTCTTTTGGAGACTTTAGCACTTAACCACTTGCTGCCCCGGCCTATAGTCAAATGATGGCCGGGCGAACACCTCGTCCCTCCGGGAGGGCATCATATGACGTCCTTTCCCAGATCACGCTTTGCACGTGCCCACTGAGCCGTGCTGTGGCAAGATCTGTCACCGGCTCTGTACCTCGGACATGGCCGATGACAGATCTGTGTACCGGCCCTGTTGCCAGTATCATGTGACCTGCTGTGACCAATCACAGCAGGTCACATGACAGTTGTATACAATGGATGGCTTCCTTTCATGCCATCCATTGTATGCAAGTGTGTCTAGCTGTGAATGGTCACAGCAATCACATGCACAGGCTGGGCCAATTACAGCCCATCTGTGTCATGTGATTAGCCGTGGCCAATCACAGCTAATCACAACAAAAAAAACCTGAATGAATCGATTTCTTTCAGTTAAATGCTTTCTCATAGCAAATACATTATTTGCTATAAGCAATCAAATTGTGTAAAAAAAAAAAAAAAATAAATACTGATCACTTCCCCAAAGTAGTACAATGTTACTATGGCAACATTATACTACTTGGGTCATAGTGTAATAGAAAAAAAAAAAAAAAAAAAAAAAAAAAATTTAATAAAAAATTGAAAATAAATTATAATTTTTTTTTTTTCGTACTGTCACCAGTCAGTGTCCATGATCACCACCACACCAGTTATATGCTGATGCTGTACTGCACTGGTGACAGTATGTAAAAAAAAATTGTGAAAATAATATTTTAAATTTCCTAATTTTCTGAAAAATTATGACAAAAAAAATTACTACTTCAAAAAACTCGCCATGCCTTTTATGAAATACATCGGACTGTCTGCTTTGCAAAAAGTGGTCATTTGGGGGATATACTGTTTTGGGCCTCAAGAAATTATATTGGCTGTCAGTACTTCAGGACTGATCAATTTTCAGATATATCCCATAGTTTGTGAACTGTATAACTTTCTTACAGACTAATTATTATATACCTATCTTGGGTTATTTTCACCAAAGAAATGTAGCAGAATACACCTTGGCCTAAATTTATGAAGATAAATTATCTATTTGCAAACTTTTATAACAGAAACAAAGAAAAATGTGTTGTTGTTTTTTTTCAACATTTTCTGTTTTTTTTTTTGTTAATTTAGCAAAAAAATAAAAACCCCAGTGGTAATTAAATACCACCAAAAGAAAGCTCTAGTTGTGTGAACAAAATGTTAAAATTTTATATTGGGTACAATGTTGTATGACCGCGCAATTGTCATTGAAAGGGTGAGAGCGCTGAAACCTGAAATTTGGCCTGGGCAGGAAGAGGGGGGTAAAATAGCCCGGTATTGAAGTGGTTAAAATCATAGTCATAAATACTGTATATTCATATCTGTATATATATATATATATATATATATATATATATATATATATATATATATATATATATAAAACTGAACTGCGGTTACTTAGTACGAGTTATTGCTGTTTGCATATTAGGATTGCTCTTTGCATTCACACACAAATACGCCTAATTAGGCAATACTGAAAACATCACAAACAGATGATCTCTTTTGTGTCAAAGCTATATTTCTATATTTTCTCCTTGCTACAGTCCCTGCTCACTGGCGTATTGCTGTTTGATGTCAAGGTTTATAATAAAAAATTGACTCAGGTTTGAAGTTGAATTAAACCATCATCTTTTCCTGTCTGATACTCTTTTCTTTATTTTGCATGTAGGAAATCACTTTCTGACTCAATTTCATCTGCTGACGGGTGGTTTCATTTCAGGTTCTGCCTTGTGACTGGAAGGAAATATGGCACAGCACTGCTTCATTTCCAAGATAGTCTTGAATTAATTCTGCATAACAAAGAACCAAGGAGGGGTCGAGCAGTGCTGCCCGTCTCTGTGTATGCCTCAATATTGGTATGCTGGGAAGTGTGTGGATTCTGCCCCTAGCTGAGACTGTTTAGAATTTCAGACACAATGGCACATTAAACTCTGGATCAACAAGCCTGGAACAGACAAGGTACACGCCCACACCATGTCTG